ACACACACACACACACACACACACACACACAATACCTGCAATCACTGTTTAAAACCGCGAAGTATATGGTTAGAGACTTTTTTTGTTCTTCATTTGGTTTCTTATTCAGTAGTTCGAGGATAAACAGGAGTTTGTGTGATGTTCAAGTTACTCCACTGCTACTCTACACATTAATAATACTAACAATAATTGCTAAATATACATGAAAACAATCAGCAGCCCTTCTAGTGGTCGTGCTTCATGTCAGCTCGAGTTCACATTTATGAATTGAATCAAGGGAATGTCCGGGTCACATTTCACAAAAATAAAGCAATAAAATGAAGCCTGTTTCTGTATTGTGACATTATTTTCATTTTCTCCCCTCCTGCCAAATCTCATTATCACAATGCAATAAAAAAAAAAAATCTCATTATCGTTATGCATCTGCACATTACACTTTTGTACTTCTTATTTTTATTATTCTAATGATTGTCATTAAATTCTCATTACTTTAAATACAATGATATTTTTAACTTCAAATTTGCATATCAAGTCTAAAAACGGCTTCATTTTGTTGATGCGAAATATCATTTATTATTTCTTTAGATTTTGATGTGAAATGTGTCCCAGGACACTTTCCTGACAGGCTTCACCTCTTTAACTGTGGTTTTTGAGTTTGTGAATGTTTGCATGTTAACCCTTGTACGTCTTTAGGGACTTTTAGTCTTTCACGTTTGTCTTTTTTATCATTTTGACTGTGTTAATGCAAACAGCATACATTTTGTCAAAGGTGTATTTTTAATTGGAATTTCAATATTTCACCCTCGTTTTCTTTCATAAATGTATTTTATATTAGGTACAAAAATAGTTGCACTCAGGACCTCAATGAAAAAATGTCCCAATTGAAACCAGTTAAAGTGGCGATATTTAATCCCAGTGCTGTTTAAGCTTAAAATCATGCATTTTTGTTAATAGGGTTTCATTCAAAATTTGTACTATTTTAAAAATTCTTATGATTTTCCACCTGATTTTCTGCTCTGAGCTTCTGCTGAAATTGAAATTGAATTATGTTAAAAATAAAAATTATCTGACACTGCACAAAAATAGTGCATCAAAATTAATGTTGTTAATCATTGACATATCCAAGATTGTAAAAATTCCAAAAAAAATTCTCCTTAGCATTTAGTATATGGAAAATAATTAATTTCATTTTTCATAAAAACAACAACAACAGTGGCATTATATAAACAAACTAGCATTTAAAGGGTTAAAATCCTGAAAATAAATTTTTTTGGGTAGTTATGATCAAAACAAGATCTATGTCAGTGAAAGTGTGGGGGGGGGGGGGGGGGGGATGTAGATA